CTGGTGGGATGCACATCTGCTTGCTCTCTTTTAGAYTGAGTTGCTCCTACCAGGCTTCCTATTATGGCTGTCAGGGAAAGCTGATCTTGCATCCTCAGCCCGGCCTGGGAAGGTTCTTGGGCAAAATGTGCTGGCAGCCTTCCTCRCAACTGCAGCAGCACATGGGAGAGTCTGTGCACCCCTGCCCAGTGCTGCCAGCTCCAGTGCCCCTGGGAGGGAGTACACCAATGCAGGCTGCTCCCAACCACAGATCAGTGTCCAGTTTTGGCCAGGAGCAAGTCAGAGGGCAGGGGCCCTGCTGCTGCAGAGCCATAAAGCCATGCTGGTGGTGCGGGGTGGGAGGCAGGGACCAAGGAGCGTGCCGCCTCCGCCAGCACATGGAGTGGCTCCAGCTCTGCATTCCAGAGCTGTTCTGCAATGTTTCTGCGGAGGCCCGTGGCCCCCACTGTCTCCGCTGCCGAGGAATGAAACGCACTTCAGCTCCAGAGCAAGGCAGCCCATCGGCAGAGGGAAGGAGGTAGCACAGGCACTCGCCTGTGCCATTGCCATCTATSCGGAAACACCAGCAAAGCTGTGGAGCTGAACAAACGAGGAACACCCTGTCATGGAAAGGGTTTTCCAAGTATTTTATATGCAGGGCGGGCTACTGCGGTCACCAGGCCAACTTCACTACATCTAAAAATATTCTCAAGTTGAGCATAAAGCTGCTTTCCATCCCTCTGCAGGAAAAGGAGAACATGCCACTGACAGGACAAGGTCAGAGACCGTGGAGGAAGGGGAGTGGAGGATGTTGGACAGCTGAGGAACTGAGAGAAGCCAGGCCATCTGTCACCATTTCTGCATCTTCTTCTTGCCCTCACAAAGCCACCCAAAATCAGGCACTGTACCAGAGACACCCTTTAGCACACCCTTCACAGGGGGCAATGTGCTTTCCAAGACCCCACAAGAAGATGACTGCTCAAGTCTTCACACTCCAAAACACTTAAAAAATTAACAGAGCTCAGCAGGGAAGACACTGGCAATATCAAAGACGTCAGAGAAAGGGGAGACGGTCTGCTTCAACTGCCATATTCTATGGAAAAAGTTTGGGCTCCAGCAGCTGAAATCTGCTGACAACAGTGTCTAGAGCAGAAATGCTCTCTGCTGCAAAAGGACACCTCCTTAAACCTTGGCTAAATCTGTCAGCAAAACGTGGCAATTAATCACAAAAAGTTTGCAAACCTGCTGCCTGGTGCAAAGGCACCAATGCAGGCCTCAGTCCCTGCAGACCTCTTTCCTCCAGGAACTATGTGGGGAGGGAAAAGCTAGACTAGACATAACAGATGAGACAGCGTGGGAGCCTGGCAGAGCAAAGCAGAAAAATAAAGGAAAAGGACAATGAAACTCAAGCTGTCCCCCTAAAAGAAAAAAAMMAAAAAAMCCAAACAAACCAAGTCTCGATGAACACCCACCAAATTTCTTCTGGCTTATCTCCAGAGCAAGCAAACCTATTCTCAGTCAAACCTATTCTCAATCATGTTGTCGGTATGCAGAGTCAGATAAGGCACCGGAGCAGCCAGATTAACGTAGTTCTGCATTTTATAGCAATCTGTGTGCAACCCTTTTTGAACCATAGGCATGTTCCTGAGCAGRTCCCAAAACAATGAGGGGACAAGGATAACCTTGATGGGGTCCCACCACTTCCCCAGACGCTGTTGTGGCTTCCTCCATCTCACCCCACACAAGGTGAGCAAAACCAAGACGGTGGTCGAGGCGTCCAGGCTCTGCCTGAGGGCAGGGTCAGTGTAGGCAGGGGCTGTGGGCAGACAACACCGTGTGGCCCAAGGAACCACTGTGTCRGTGCTGGGGACCAGAGCAGTGAGTTTTCCATCACGTGACATAGTTGCTTGYATTTGTGTCAGCTGAGTTCACTGCTGCAATAATGGTTGCAGGGGAGGGTTGGCGTCTTCAGAGACAAAAAAAAAATCAAGCAAAATTCAACTGTGGCCAGCTGGAACACTTGTGGCGAGTTTCCAGAACAAGTTGCAAATCTTCAGATGCTACAGTTTTGTCACTTTTATTACGCTTTGTCTTAAGGGACACTATTGTCTTAAGGGACACTATGAAAGAGGTTTGGTAGTAGGGTTTGGAGTGTTTTTTTCCTTTTTTTTAATAACAGCAATACCAAATTTCACCTGGGCAAAGCCCCACTGCAGAGCACTCCTGAACSGGGCGCTGGCTGCAGGAAGCCGTATCAGCTGCAAACTGCCCCAGTGCTGGGGTTTTCCAAGGGCACGGCCCAGTCTGCACAGCCACTGGCACAGCTAGGCAGGTACCAGGACACCAAAACGCAATGCCTGCAGCAGTGGCTTGGCTGGCATGCCAGCATCAGCACTCCAGCACCCTCAGCTGGGTCAAAATTCAGGCTGGTAAGAAGCCAGACTAGGCTCTGGCTGGGTTGTCCTGCGCTCTCCAGTATGGGACCARCACACACAGCCACAGCAGGCACTGAGGTAGACATGGCTCAGCCCTGCACCAGTATGAAGGCTGGGTCTGCAGCCCCAGCTTGTGATAGTATCACACGCTGCTGAGCCCGTTCAGCCCAGTTCCTCTTTCCCAGCTGCACGTCCACGTCAGATGGGAGGACAGTTTCTTCCAGCTGAGACTCAGCTTGCTCCTGGGGAGCATGTCAAGGCCAGACAATGCACCCCCGTGACCACTCTGCTGTTACTGATGGCTAGGACAGGAGCATCCTCTCAGCCCAGCCGGCAGGGCAGCCCTGCTCTGCGTGGGAAATGGGCAGTAGATGGGCAGATGGTTTGGAGGATCACAGCCACAGCCTGGCTGCCTGCTCACACGCACTGAGCTGAAGCAGCTCCAGCCATTTACTGCCCATGTTTCGCATACATCCCACATCCTGCCTGCTCCTGCTGGGCATCCTCTGACTTCCAAAGGCATGGAACACAACTCATCCAAACTGCCTACAACCAAGGCAAGCACAAGGACAAGCAGGACTCCAGCCGCAGCTCTCCTATGTTCCTAGCAAGCTGGCCCCTTTGGCACAGGACCCCAAAAGCAGTGTTGAGGTGCACCGGATGCTCTCCCAGCCTTTGGACAGCACTGAGTGCCCTGATCCAGGCACCAATGCATCCCAAGACAAGTGACTTGCCCAGCACCATGCTTGCTAGACTGGCAGAACAGCGAAAGGACAAGAGGTTGGTTGCTGTGCTCCATTCACCACAGTTCAGCTCTGAATAGCACGGCGCCCCACAGGCACCTCTTCTCCCTTCCTCAGCCTTTCCACTCCCCATTCCCTAAATCTGCTGGGACGTGTCACTTCAGGAAGCACCAAATTCCTGCCACTGACATTCAGCAAGCAAGCTGAGTACCAGGCTGGTTCTCCCCACACACCAACACAGGCTCATTTAATATTTGGGGGATTTCAACACATGCTCTGGGGGGAGGCAGGTGCTCTGGACCCTTTAATGGGCAACTCACAGTTTTGGCAAAACTAAAGATCCCAAAAATATGTGCCCTCCCCTTCTCAGCAGCGAGGCTCGGGGAGAGAGGAGAAGGGAGTAAACAATTATTGCTACCAAATATGGGTCTAACTGCCAGCGATGAAGCTACGGCAGAAGCATGTAGACATCCTGCCGGCAGATTCAAAGGGATGGGGAGCTTGCAGGGGCTCGGGTAGGATCCGGCAGGGAACAGGCAGAGGATGGGGCAGGGTTTTCCCTCTGCCTGGTTAGTTGTTACGGGCAGGATATGGTGGGGACCCGGCCCGCCCTGCATGAGACCCAGGCTAGCGCCCCATGGCCAGCGGTCTGTCCCGGTGGGAACTGCTGCGCTGACCTCCCTGGCTTCGGTGCGGCCATGGGAAGCGTCTCCCCTCGCGTCCCCACCCAAAACCACGAAGCAGGACATAGRCACCCTTGCCACTTGCTTTTCCCCACGCCCCGGCAGGGTGGGTGGGGTGCCGGGGAAAAAGCTCTGCCTGGCCTGTCCCAAAAAGTCACCCCCGGTCCACGGGCTGGTGGCCAGTCTTGTCCAGCTCGGTCTCCAGGGACCCCCGAGGCAGGGATGCTGGCTCCGATCTGGCCAGGGCGGATTCAGGGACCAGGCCTGGTGGRGCAGGGCACAGAGCCCGGGATAACGTGGCCGCGCCAGCCCGTGCTGCCCCGGAGCCTCCGGTGGGCGTCGGTGCTCGGGTGGCGCCCGCCTCAGGGGCGATCTGGGCACGCCCCGCAGTCTGAGCGAACGCCGGAAGCCCCTGTGCCACCGCAGCGCCACGGACAAGCCCCGGTTGGAGCAGGGAAGCCCCGATAACCGGGAAGCTGCAAGCTCCCTGCCTCCCCGCCATTTACCGGGTGGGGTGCGGGGGCAGGGTCCCCGGGACATCCGTTTCCGGCAGCCCCCCGAGAGCCAGCACGCTGCCTGTCCCCAGGATCTCACCCCGCGGCCCCCCCTCCCCGGTTACCGGGACACCATGTGTCCTCCGTCCCCGGTCCCCGTACCTTTGCGCGGGCAGGAGCAGCGCGGCGGCCCCGCGAAGCTGAGGGGAGTTGAGCGGGCGGCACCGCCCGCTTCCCGCCCCCCCACCGCGCATGCGCGTCGCCGGGTGACAAGGCACAGCCCCGCACGGTGCCCCGGGGCTGCGCTCCCCCCCGGACACCGCAGCACGGGCATCCCGCTCCCACGGACAGCGCTGTTCCGTATCCGCGCCGCCCGATCCGACGCCCCGGGGCTGGGCACGGCTCCGCGCCCGTGCGCCGGGGTCATGCTACGCCCGCCTGTCACACCTTAGCCCCGGGCGCCCGCCCGCCCCGGGACACCCCCGAGACCCCGCATGACCCCGGGCCCACCGCCCTCTCCTCAAGCCGTCACTCCCACCCCTCCTCTCCCCTCCCTTCCCCGCCCGCCCCGCGCTCCCGCCGCCCGCGCGCGCTCCCGCCACCCACGCGCTTCCCCCGGCCAATGAGCGACCGGGGCGTCAGCGCGGGAGGGGCAGGGGCGGTGCGCGCGCGGCCTGCCGGGAGRCGAGATGACGTCACCTCGGTGCGTTGGAAGCGGTGGGGCTGAGGTGAGGGGTGGGGGGCGCGGCCGGGGGTGAGGGGTCCGCGGCATGGAGGGTTCGAGGGCTCTGGGGATCAGGAGGTGTGGGGTCCGGCCCGCGGCCGGGGCTGGGAGGGGCTGCTTGGTTCCCCTCGGGTGGGTGWCCCGGTGTGGGGAGTCGCCGCTGAGCTCCGGTCACCTTTGCTTTTGCCACACCCGCTTCTCCTGTTCCCGTCCTCCCCGTGCTGCCTGCATGGCGCACGCTTCCTGGAGAGAAACTCCTCCGAGTCTGTGGAAGCCTTGGGCCCTGCCCAGCTCCTCTTCCTCTCACTGTTCAACTTTCTGCTGGCAGCCCTGCACCCAGTCAGCTGGCACTGCAGCGCTGTGCCTGGGGGCTGCCCTGGCCTTCTGGTTTTGGGTGGGGTTTCAGGTGTTTTTGGTGGTGTTCTGTTTTTTATGGGCTTTTTTGTTCYAGACTGTGACACTTGACAGCTAGATGTGAAAGCTTGGCAGTGCTGATGGAGAGGTGCGGGGGTTGTCCGTGCTCTGACAGCCTGAGTGGTGCCTTGGCTCAGGCATCGCCCACSAGCCGGCCGGGCTGATCCTGGCGAGAGCCATGCGAGGCCACATCTCCTCAGGGACCGAGGCTCCTGGGCCATGTCCTGTCAGCACGTAACAGCAGCAGCCCGAGCTGGGACCGGACAAAGCTGAAGCTGCCACAGCCGCACAGGTGCACAAKTGCCAGAGCGCTCTTTGGCTGCGGGTGCCTCGCTTTGTCCTCTGAGTACGTGTGGCCTCCCCGAGCCACTGAGCTCTGCTGCTCTCGGGCTGCCAGGCCCTGACCTCCCTGCGAGCTGGGACAGCTCTCTGGGTCACTCCTCAGGGCTGAGAGACCCTTTGCCAGCATCTGATCTCTACAGCGAGGTAAGGAGTGTTTTACTTCAGCCTGAAGGTATGTTGTGTGCTAGTGACATTTATGTATATCCATCTATAGCTTAATTGTTATGAGTGTGTCAGAAATTACAGGGTTTAACAGCTATCTGAATTATTAAGTCATCATGCAGGTCTTTGTCAAATCACTTGTTAATTACCTTTCAATGATCACTTAATGACCATCTGATTACCATTTAATTTCTGTTCACTCATCAGTTGCATAAAATTCGATCATCATTTAATCGTTAACAGAATACCCTTAGCTAGAGCCTTAACAAAGCCTGTTCTTAATAATTTTCCTGTGACAGGAAGCTCTCCCTGCTGGCTGCACACCAGGGGGTGTGGCACCTTCAGGCTTCTTTGGAGCAACAGGATTCTGCGTGCTCTCCACACCATTAAGTCTGGGATTGTTTTATTTTCCCTCCCCTTCTTTCAGCTTTTATACTCTGGGTGGAATGTGGCTCCTGTGGCTGGGTCACAATAACCTTGTGGGGCAAACAGTGTATTGTTGTCATCAGTGGTGCTATAACAGCCTTGCTGGGGAAGTATATATGAACTGGCCGTCCCTGTTTTTGACACTGCATTCCCTGCTGTTGACACTGCATGGGAATACTTTGTCTGAGGGACATCTTAAAGCAATGCCGGTGTCTCCCCTTGTGCCTGTGCTCACTTTGGGTGTCCTGCTCAGATGTCGTGCCCAGAAGAACTGGATGCCCTGGCAGACGTGGATCTGCTTGACTTTCTCCTGAAGGATGATGCTCCCTGCCCTGAAATCCCAGGGCAGCAGAATGGGTTGCTGGAAGACTGGGGCCTGCCAATGCCTGAGGTGAGTTCTTTGTGAGGAATTGCTGCTGAGTTGAGGTTTAGGAGGTTTTTCTCCCTGCTGAGCAAAAGCTGTTCCTCTGCAGCTCCTGGACAAGGAGATGGATGACTTCATCAGCTCACTGCTGAGCCCTTTAGAAGATGGAGCAGACAAGCTCAGTTATTTGCCTGCCAACAATGACAGTGGGATTTCTGAGGATCAGCATCTGTCTCATTGTCTTGGTAGCAGTTTTGCCAGCCGAGATGTTGTGCAGGTTGATCACAACTACTCCCTTCACCAGGACTGGCCTGTGCTGGAAAGTGTGAGGTCTGACATGGCAGAAGGAGATGTTACCATTGAGCTGGGTGAGTGATGTGTATGTACCCTTTCTGTCCTGCTAGAGGCAGAAATGGAGTCTCATATTGCTTTGTTTCAGTGGATGTCAGGCGATGATGGAGAGAGCCAAGAGTTGGAGTTTGCTGCTGCTGTAAAATTGCTGTTTCATGCTACTCAAGACTGGCTGGTCAGGTTCTGCCTCACTGAGGCCCAGCACCTGACTCCCGTTTCTTTCTCCAGGGTCCTGGGTGGATTTGGAAGGCACRAGCACGTCACTAGAACAGAGCAACAGTTCCCCCATTTCTGTTGCTGTGGAAGATGAGCTCCAGCTTGTGCCTGCAGCCATTGTGCAGGTACTGACTCCCATGCCTATGGACCCCAGCCTTTTCTTCCGCTCACTTCTCTCCTTACTTGGCTCCTAGGAGTCATATCTTGGAGGGAAAGCATGATGCTCTTTTGGGAGACCTGATCCCAGTTCTGTGTGCTTGCTGCATGCTCTCTCTCTCTCACTTCTGTAATTTTTACAGCTCTCTCTAGCCTGTGGTGGACTCCTTGTATTTTGCATTCTCAGTAGGCTTGTTTTTGCTGTTTTCTAGTCTGACTTCCCAGAGCTGGTCCTGACTGAGGAAGAGAAGCAGCTCCTGGAGAAAGAAGGTGTTACATTACCAACCTGTCTGCCACTGACCAAAGTGAGTCCTCACTAAAGCTAAACACACTTGGACCACTCAAATGTATTAGCTAGTGTAGGGGTTTGAAACTACAGCACAGTGCCTTGATGAAAATATTGGTGCCCAGGTGCTGTGTTCAGGGCAGTGTTCATCAGGGCTTAGGGTTCTTTTCCTCCTTTTGAGTCTGGGGAGTGCCCATGTGCACAGCAGCTTCTGGCTGCTGTCAATCCCCCCATTCATGGCTGTTTGCAGGAGACAGTTACACCACAAGTGCCTCCAGCTGTTTTTTTTTCCTGCTTGTTTAGTAGCTTGTGAGCTTTTCGTTTCCCTTAGGTGTGTCTTACTTCTGCTATGCCATGGAAGCTGCTGGCTTCATCAGCAGGCCAGAGTTTGCATTGCAGTTCATTCAGTGGTGTGGGAGGAACAGAGGACACAAGCATTCAGGCTGCATGCTGTGATTTGTGCAGGGTTTGAGAGGTTGGGATTGCCAACACCATCGTTGTTAATGAGATTATCCTTGCAGGCTGAAGAGCGAATTTTGAGGAAAGTGCGTCGTAAGATCCGGAATAAGCAGGCAGCTCAGGATAGTCGTCGCCGGAGGAAGATCTATGTGGATGGCCTGGAAAACAGGTATGGTCACACAGCAGTGTCATCCAACACTGAGGGGACCCATCCCAAGGATCTTTTAGGGATCCTTGGCAGAATGGTGATGGCACCAAACTCTAGTTTCAATTAAAACTTCATTTTTGTACCATGTTATGATTTATGTAGCACTGGATTTGTGATTAAAGTGGCACAGTTTTTCTACAAGCAGAATTAATGTAGTACAATCTATAAGCAGTTTAATACAGAATTTCTCATACAACTTAAATGACAATTTCTAACCACCTGCATTTTAACATGTCTTAACTTACAATTTCTAGTCACTTGGACTATCTGCATATTGTATCAAATCTTAATAGACGGTTCTGTGTATCAATATAATGATCATGACATAATTCAAGAATTATATAAAGATATATAAAAGGTATATAAAGGTATACCAGTCACTCCTTCAGTTGTGGGAGGAAACAGGCAATGGTAGACGTGTCCCTGGGCAGAGGGCTTCTGAGCCTTGCTGTCCAGCAGAGACTCTAAGGTCCCTCTTGGGAATTCTATTTGCTTGATTTTGTGAACAGTGCACTCTGTGCTGTTGTGCTTCCCTGCTCTGTGATAAGGCTGTCAGCAACACAGAGCTGGCTATGTGCCCGGAACCTTCAAGGCTGGTGAGGGAAGGGCCTGATGCCTAGGGACTTTCAGGCTGGCATGGAGAAGAAGAAATCTGTTTGTTTTGGTACTTGGTGCACAGGACCTTCAGAGCCTGATAACGAGAGGAAGGGAATGAATACATGACCTGGTTGGTCACAGAATGTCTGCTCCCCTCGTGCATGGTCTTAGCTGTGCTGACTGCATTGCTGGGTCCAGGAACAGAGGGTGCCCATCATAAGCTGCTGTGCTGTTCAGCTGCTGGGCTTTTGGCACCCTGGGCAGAAAGTATGGTTGGCTGTGTGGGGCAACAGCTCTCGGCAGCAGGTTCAGAACCTTGGGATAAAGCCTGCCTTGCACTCTTGTGCTTGGAGATGGCCCAGAGCTTGCTCTGTTCAAGCCAGATAGCTGACTTGCCAGATGGAATGTGTTTTCCACATCAGGCTAGTTTGTAATACAGCCTGATGTTACAGATCTGCAGGGCTGGTGTGCCTCTAGGAGCAAGCATCCATAGGGATTAGTCAACTGCTTCTCTGCAGGACTGAGCAGGGCTTCATCCCTCCCCATATCTGGTATGAGGTAGTGCTGTCTGCACTTTGTTGCAGATGATAGCAGGTAGTCCCCAGGACTAATTTTGTCTACCCCGGCCACCCAGAGATGGTGACTGATGTAAAGTCTCTGCTGTTGGTCAACAAAATCTCTGTTTTTCCTCCACACGGCTTGTCCTTCGTGGGAAGGGTGGCAGCTTGCACTGCTGAAAACCATGAACTGGAGAAGAAAGTGCAGCAGCTGCAGAAGCAGAACATGTGAGTTCTTCTTGTTAGGTGTGATGGGAGTTGTGGTGGGGAGGCTGTTCCTCTTCTTGGGACTGTGTCCTGTCCCTGGTTGCAGAGGGTGGAGGGAAGTGTGCAGCTCTAGGTTCAGTCGCTGTGTTTACCTGCATTTCCTGCTCTCCTGCAGGTCGCTGCTCAGGCAGTTGCAGAAGCTGCAGGCCTTGGTGAGACAGTCMGCCCCCAAAACTACCAGAAGTAAAACCTGCACCATGGTAAGTGGCTTCAGCTTCTGTGTCTGTGGCAGAGTCTCTGCTGTCCTTGCAAGTTTGGGAGAGAGGCATTTATTGCGGCCAGTGATGCCTGTCCATCTCCTTTGCTCATGTCTGTGCTTATCTGTTTCCAGATCGTGGTTCTGTCCTTCTGCCTTGTTCTGTCCCCCAGCATCCGCACACCTGGGAGCACAGAGCCGCAGCGGGAGCTCAAGGGTGAGTGCCCAGGTCAGAGTTCAGGTGTGGTTCCAGGTGAAGCTCAGCCCTGCAGGGCGCAACATTCCTCAGAGGCAGCCTGAACTCTGAGGCACCTCAAACTCAGCAGCCCCTTGCCTGGGGTGACCCTTAGGTTTGGCTTGCTATCTTGCCCTAGCTCTGGGCTCTTCCTCAGCCCTGCTGCAGAGGCCTGCCTGAAAGCAGGGCCCTGTGCCAGGGGCGGTGCAAGGACAGGAGAGAGCCGGTCCCTCTTGGAGCACAAACTGTGCTTGTGTCTGGCAGCTGTGCAGGATCCTCTCCCCACCTCCCCTGGGAGGAGGAAGTCCTGGTTAAACAGTTTGTCCTCTCCTGGGCTCTGTGGTGGCTCAGCACAGGAGGGTGGGAGGCTGAAAATTACAGGATTGTCTCTACCTCTCTTGCAGTGCTGTCACGGCAGATCCGCGAGTTTCCGAACCAGGGAGCACCTGATGTGCAGCATGACACTGAGCTGGTGGGCTTCAGCCCAGAACCTGGGGACACCTCACAGTTGGGCAACCTCAGTCAGTCATTGGAAGAGGGGCAGACTCCACTCAAGCCCGGTCCCAGATCTTTCAATAGCAACTCATCCTCCAACCCTCCAGCGCCAGCAGGCTCCGAGCCGAGCCCGCCCCAGAATGACCCTTTGCCAGCGACAGTGGTGGTGCCATGGAAAGCTAAGGGTCAGGAGTGGGCGGAACACCCTGACAGAGTTCTCATCCAGCCGCACCATGCCAACGAGATGTGACCAATGCTGCGTCCTGCTCCTTGGGGTGATATCGGGCATCCTGTGGGGCAGGGACAGAGCTGCACTAACAGATAATCTATCCATGCAGTTTCTTCTGAATACTCTCTTGATTGCCAGCAGCTCAGAGGATTTATCAGGGAGGAATCATTCTGACATTTCATATTTGTATGAAGCTCGATCTGAGATGGGACAGGAAATTCTGAGAGCTTTACTAAGTTGTTGTGGCTTGCAGCCCAGAGTGCATCTGGTGGCTTGTGGGGATGGGCTGTGGCAGGGATGGTGGAGGCAGTCGAGCTGAGGTGCCGGTCTGACTGGGTGCAGTTGGTGATGGAGGCCACTGCCATACTTCACTGCCCAGCTGGGGATGAACAGGCACTTGTTACTCTGTGTTGTGGCTCCAAACATATCCCATGTCCCTGCCCCTTAATCCTGCAGTGCTGCCTGATTTCCAGGTGTGAGGGAGCGAGTTGACCTTTGGTACCCTCACAGGAGTAGCCCTGCCTGCTGCTGCGACAGACCCAGCATGTCGCCTGTTCCTGCTAGCTTTTGAGCCATGGCCACAGCTCCCAGCCTGGCTGGAGAAGGTAATGTGGAGTCCTTCCTGAGCCATGTGCGCTGTTTGCCTACCATAAGGGCTGAGCCTTTCATCTCCTTCAGGCTTCTGGGCCTCGAGGAGCAGGCATGCCTTGAGCCAGACTGCTGAGGCAGCATGTAGCAGAGAGCGGCAGAGAGCAGCAGAGCTGCTTGCTCTTCTGAAGGCTGTCCTGGGCACAGGATGGTTTGAAATCCATGTCTTTGTGTACCCAAGCCTTGCTGTGCTGGCTAATGATGCAGTCAATGGTTCTGGGCTGAGCAGAAATGCTTTGAGCTGGTGAGCGGTGTCTTTACCAGAGTGGTACTTAAATGGCAGCTTAGTAGTACCTGTAGCGATCTCCTTGTCCTTCTTCAGATCTCTTCATAGAGTTATATAGAATGGTTTGGATTGGGAGGGACCTGTTAAGGTCATCTTGTCTGGTTGTCTCTGCARCGAGCAGGGACAGCTTCAGTTGGATCAGAATAGTAATGAAAAGCTTCCTTATTAATAATCTAAATAAATATTAATGGTGTGTGAGTGTGTCCTCTGTGGTTGTTTTGGCGAGGTGTTGGGTGACAGCTGGGGCCTTCACCAGGGGCTGGGAGCCTTGTGGGAGAAATCCAGGGGAGGGCTGGGGGTGATCACTCTCAGATTGATGCTGGGGAATTCCATGTGGCTGTGAGTGGGCAGAGGGGCTTTTGTTGAGGCACCATGCAGGTTTGCAGGGCTGCTGCTCTGCTCTCACCCCTCTTAAAGGGTGCAAAAGCACTCATTTGGTGTAAAATGTATGTGGTGAGCACCCAGCACCCACCGCGCACCCCGAGCCCTCAGTGGTGCGGAAGCGAGCAGCTTCCCCAGGAGGAAGCGTGAGGAGCCGGTGTCAGCCCCCACCGCTGCTTTCGTAACGGGGAGCTGCACAATCGCAGGAAGTGGAGCAGAGCCAGGGTGCTGCAACAGCCACCGCGAGGGCCCTGCCTCCTGCGGGGTTGCTAAATTCAGGCTTTGCTCTGGGTCTGGTTGGGATCACTGGGTCCACAGGAGGCACTGGCAGACCCTGAGCTCAGGCTGCAGAGCGCAGTGTAGGGTTTGGGGGCATGGGAGCTCAGCAAGGCAAGAAGCTCCATGCGTGCAGTCCACCCAGGAACCAAAAGCAAATGAGATATAAAACAACATTGTGTCAGGGGGAGGGATCCCTCAGGGGTCCCAGGGGTCCTGTCTGAAGACAGATAACAGTATGCTCCCCAGGGCCAGGTCACACACACAGCTCTACCCTGACCAGGGCTGACAGCCCTTGAGCCTCACCAAGGAAACATTGAACCTTTTTCCCCACAAACTATGCATGGCATCAGGAAGGTCTAGGACCCTGTCCATGCTTCAGTTGCATTTTCTGCAGTTCGAGGCCAGGGTGCATAATGTTCTGTTCCCACTTTCATTTTTTTGCAGTTCAAGGTCACTGTGTGTAATGCCCTGTTCCCTCTTTCGTTTCGTTTTTTTGCAGTTCAGGGCCAGGATGTGTAGTGTCACTGATGTCACACGGTGTCCCCGACCCAGCACTAATCAATATTGAATGAGCCATCTGCAGTAGTACATGGTGGTGTTGCCAGCAAAGAGGGAGCACCACGTGGACTGGTGTTTGCCTGGGCACAGTGGTGTCAATATTGCTCTCTGTAGCTGTCTGCTTGGCCAAATGTCAGGAAGGGAGATAACTGTGAGAGCAGGCAGGGAGCCAAGAGCTGGGAGTTTTGGGGAGGGTAGCTCTGTGGTCTCAGCTCATGATGACCCGGGTCTGCTATTTCTCATTGCTTTGTGTGTTCTTGTGCCAGTCCCACAGCAAGCAGCTCTGAGTTGGGGAGAGGAAGGGAGCTCAGGCTGGACCTCACACCTGGTTTGAAAGGCAGTGATGATAAGTGTCCTAATGAGTCCTTTGGCTGAGGGATTTATTATATCCAGCAGAGGAGCAGGAGGCACCTGCTGTTGCTGCCACCCTTCTGTTCTCCGTGCAGATTCCCATCCTTCTTCTGAGCATGCTGCAGGGATCAGAGTGTGGTCTGCCTGCCGTTGGTGCTACTTTTATGCACACACAGCCCTGCTCTGCCTTAGGACAGTGTTATGGTCCCTGCTCACCTTCTCCACTATGTTCCCTCTGTTATGCCCAAGGTCAGCCTGTCCCTTGCATCCAGCAAGGTGCCTGTGTCAGCATTGTGGAACTGCGCTGGCAGACCGGAAACATGAGCCTTTCAGGGCAAAATATCCTGGACACTCCTTGGCAAGTCCCGGATGGGTGTTGCCAAATGGAAACAGACTCATTTTTGTTTGGTGACTCCTCAAGTATCAGTCATGCCGTCTCCTTTCCGTGGCAGTGATGTGTTGAAAATCATGAAAACATTAAATGAAATTTGCTTTCTATTCCCGAGGAAGGCCTGGGCTCTGTAAGCAATGCAAAACACTTCCTGGTCATGGCCTTAAAGGAGTCAGGTTTCCTCTTTTTAAAAATCAATTGTGGAAGAGATGGGAATTTCAGTCAGTAGCAGAAACAAACTATACTGCCCTTTTCAAGGGATATCTAAATCCTGTGTCATCATCAATCCTATTTTTATCCACTAGCACCAGCTGCTGGATATTGGTGGAAACAGAAAAACTAGAAGAAAATGGTTAAAAAGGCAGCTGGAAACACAGATATGAAGCCACTGTCTCCCTCCAGCTCCCACAGCTGGGCACTCCCAAGGGTCATGCTGGGACCACTTTGTCAAAGTGTCGAAGGTAAAAAGCAGAGGTTGGTCTGTGATACCTAAAAAACTCCACCAGTGCCAGATGCACCCTTCCCCTCTTCTCTTTCTCTGGCCATGTGTGGGCATCAGGGTCTCGGCTGGAGGAACACCCACCCACCCCCGCCCCGTGGCTGACTCAGGGGACACAGCCGTGCCGGAGGGACTCGCGGGGCGGGGAATTTGGGAGCTCTGCCCAGCCCTGGGATGGGAAGGCAGCTGGCAATCGGCCACCGCCGCACATCCGCCGGGGCTGGGAACCGGAGGCTGATGGCTCTGCAAGAGTCATTTGCAACCGCCCGGTGCATTCGGGCGCCCGAGAACTTCCTCCGCTCACATGGGGAACGCTCTGCAGCGTTGGCTGCGGCAGCACACTGGGCTGTGCCTCATCCTTCTGCCTGGTCACAGCCCGGTTCGTCCCCCACCTCCAGGGACATCTGGGAGTGGCCCCGAGGGAGGTTACTCACAGTGCAGCATCAGGTTTGCAGGCACAGTATTGCTGCACASTGCCAGGGGAGGGGAGCTGGGACAGCCCCATCCCCAGGGACGCTGCTGCCCTCAGCATGAATCCTCCCTGTGGGAGGGTGGCTGCTGGGTGAGACAAACCCCATGAGTTTGAGGCAGGGCAGAAAACAGAGCCAAGCCCCGCATCCCCACAGAAACCCTTTATTTTGCATCTGGTGAACTTGCCTGAGAAAGCATGAACCTGTGGGCTGAAAGCTGCTCAAGCACAGCATGTCAGTGTGGGCAGAGCTTGGCATGGGGAAAGCACTGAGTCCTGCTGTCCTGAGCCTCCTGGATTTCCCCACTTGTTGTTATTTTATCCGTGTGAAGATGCTGGTGCCAATCCTGCAGAAAACACCAAATCAGCTGGGGTCATGTCTGCTGTGGAGGGTTCAGACAGGAAACCCAAGGGGGACATTGTGTGGCTGACTGGGACACAACGGGTTCCAATAGCCTGTAGCAGAGGCTGTGCCTGGTACTGGCACCTTTCCCTCCTCTCTCCCTGCTGTGGAGAGTGGAAAGATGGAAAGATGGAGGGGGGCACAGGGGCCAGACCCCACCCTGGGATCCCCCACCCTGAGGCACAAGGGGTGCCCGTGTTACAGCGATGCTCCTTAGCCCTTGCACATCACCAGAGACAAATCCATTTCACCCTCACAGCCCTCCCATGCTTCACCTGGCGGGATTTCTCCCTTCTCCAGCCTGAGATGCAGGAGACTCTGGCACAGCAGTGGCTGGGACCCAGCACTCACCGGGTGGCTTTCCAGTCCTCTGCAGGACTGTCGCCCGCCTCTCTCAGGAGCCACAGGGCATGCAGGGTCTCCTCCCCCTCGGTGTCCACATAGCACTGGCCCAGGAAGACAGTTGTCCGGGTAGTCTCTGAGTCTGGAAGGGTTTAAGGTGTCGTGAGCCAGGCAGAGAGGCACTTGGCCACTCTGTGTCCTGCTACAGGGTGATGTCCCCCGCCGCCTACCTCGGAGCCGCCAGTTCACGGTGAAGGAGAAGGTGGGCTGTGGGAAYAGCCCGGTGTCTTGCTGGGAGCCCTCCAACGGTGAGGTGAGGAGTTCCGAGTTGCCAGCGGCAGGTCCTGGCAGGTAAGAACCGGAGAATCTGCTGTCCTTGCCCAGCGTGGACACGACCATGCGGCAGCCGGTGTCGCTCCGCCACGAGCCGGAGAGGAGGCACTGCAAGGTCAATGCTGTGGGTTGGAGTGCCCCCACCCCGGAGAGGGAGCACCCTGCTCCCATTCCTTCACCCTGGCTCTGCCCAGCGATGTCTGCAACACTGGGTGCTGTGCCACAGACCCGATGAGCCYCCGGCATGACCACTTCAGTGTGAGCATCGTGCCTGAGCACTGATTGCCTTCAGACCAGCCGCTGTCCGGGCTGGTTTCACCCAGCCACGTGTGTCCCTCCCATCCTAAAGCAGGTCTGCTGCTTTCCCTACGCTCTAGGCGGGAGAAGAGGAGTTGTCAGGGGTGGGTCTCTGTCTTCCTCTGAATGGTTTCCCGCAATGAGAAGCATYCTTGCAGGAGCAGTCCCTTCCTTCCAACCTCCTTGCATCCTCCCTCAGTGCTGCACAGTACTGTTCCCACAGCTCCAGCAGCCCAGCTCCCTGTTGAGCTGTGGTGCACCAGCAGCAGACTTTGGAGTCTAGCAGGGTGTCAGCACCATGTCCCCATTGTCACCCGTCCCCATACCTTTCTCTCTGCAGGGGTARCACACGCTGCCAGGGCAAGGGCGAGGACCAGGGTAAAAATACTTCCCATGGCTGCAAGGCTGCTAGGAGCACCCCCCAGCTCTGCAGCCTGGCCCCCTTTATAGGCTGTAACTGGAGCCCCTCCAGCACCAGGATGGCAGCTGTGACATGAACAGCTTGGTGTCAGGGTGCCCGGGACAGGCAAGGGAGGGAGGAGGTCTGCATGACCTGATCAGTCTTGAAGGAACGCAGGAATGAGCACGGCTGTGCAGAGGGATGGGGGCACAAGTTTTTTATAAGGCACTATAGCAGCCTGGAAAGCATTAATACCTTCTTTGGGAATCTGCCTCCCATACGTGAAGGCTGGGAATTATCACCTATTTCAACATTTACCCCCTCTGTGCTTTGCTGGTGCCCCTGCCTGACCAGGATGTCACTCAGGTGATGACAGGGTGTCCCTGTCAGGAACCAGCTGYAGAGGGTGCAGCGCTGCATGGGAAGGAAGGCTCACTCACTTTAGAAGCAATAACATTACTCCAGTATCTTCAGATATCAGCAGCTGATTTTGATGGTTTTGCWTTTACTTTTATGAAAGTTAGAGGTAGAAATAAAGGCAGCAGTGTTTCTGAGTTCCCAGTGAGTGTGTTGGCTGAACACACGGAGCATGATAATCAGCATTGTATTCACACCTCTTCCTTGTTCTTGCTGTTCTAAAGGAACTTTGATTTCCAAAATRCAGTCGCTGTGTTCCTGAGACATTCCTGTCTTTGCTGTGATGCCTGGAGCAGACATGTGGCTGTGGCAGYTGAATATTCAGGTGGGGTTCAGCTGAGTCAACATGTGCTGTTTCTGAGACAGCAGTGTTTGGGGCAGGGGATGGCAGCTGGGCTGCAGTGTGGAAACAGGGGACAGTGGAATCCTCCTTTGGGGTGACACCTCTCAGTGCCCACTGCCAGCCCCAACACACCCTGGCACCCCGTGCTCAGCACAYCTCTCATGTGGGTAGCCCCAAAAGCTGGGGTGAGCAGAAAACATCCCTCTCCTAACACATCCCTCCTCCTTGTTGTCTTTTGCAGTCCCAAACTCATGGCCTGTCACGGGAGCTCAAAGAAATTCCCCCTGGGGATCCTCGTGCTCAGTTCCTGGATGCCACACTCTGTTTTTCTGGCCTGGCACCAGCTCCTGCCCTTCTGTGCTGTGTGGCAGGGACCAGCCACTTTATTAGAGATGCCAGGGAGGTGGCACATATCCCTCCACTTCATGGCACCGTGGTCCAGCCTCACCAGAGCTGGGCCAGCCTTGACGGGCTGTGTAGCCACTGTGCTGTCATCCCTGGGGCTGAGATATTTTTGTAACACTTTCACAAGAGGCTTCCTCTTCCCCCATGGACCTGCCAAAAGCTTTGTGTTGAAAGAGCTGACTACATTTGGCAGGTGTCCACAGAGGCAAATTGAGCAGCACTGCCAAAATGTAGCAGCAGAGAAGGGGAAAGTCCCTGAGT